GTGGTTTAGTCGATGCAATATTTCCTTTTGTACGTAAAGTACAAAGTCATAAGCAATAAGGAAATTATGCACAAAGGTCGGCTACAGTTTGAGCATAAATAGAGAAGGCCACAGCTTTAGGTGATGATCCGGGAAAACCCTAAACACAAGAGCAAAAGAGAAAGAGTTAGAGAGAGATCAAGAGTAGAAGAAACTAGGGAAAGACATTGTTCGAGTCATGTCTTTGCGGGAGAGAGTTTCTTTGATCTTTCTTATTCTTCGTTGTGTAGAGCGCTTAGAGCGTTTGTGTAAACCGTTTGATTGATAGTGGATGTTGTGGGAGAAGGTTCCCACCCGTGACGTACCGTGCTAGAGGCCGGGAACTCGGTGATCAAATTCTATGTGTTATTTAGTTAAGCAATCAAACGATCGAGAATTCCTAACAGATGCAAAACCTGGGCTTGTTGTTAATTCTTTTGGTATAAGATTGATTTGCTTCTCTTATGAAGGAAAAAGTTGGAAGTAGTGTAAGTGGTGAAAAGGATAGTCATAAGATAATTGATGTGGAGACATCTCTTGCACTTCCTCCTCAAGGTGGAGGAACTCGAGCCGGGCTCTTTAGAACCCCTATTTCCGGTGGTGTTCAGAACGCAACCTCTGCTCATAGTTTACCTCCACCTGCTCTAGCTGTTAGGAACTTGATGGAGCAGGTAAAAGGTTTTTTGTTCTTACGGTCGATGAGGAAAGGTGTTAAAGTTTCTCGTACCTATTTTGGTGTTTTATGATGTGAAGGCTAGGTTTGCTCATCTATGCACAGTGATGTCTAAAATGCACCATCGCAGAGAAGGGTACCCCTTTGGATCGTTGGTAGATTTTGCACCTGATCCTGTGGGACGTAAGTCTTTTTCTCCTTGACTCTCTCTCTCTCTCTCTCTCTCTCTCTCTCTCTCTCTCTCTCTCTCTCTCTCTCTCTCTCTCTCTCTCTCTCTCTCTCTCTTTGTATGTTTTGTGTTTTTGACTGCAGCTTCTACTTTTGTTTCTAGACCCTATCTTTTCATTCTCACCATTGGCTATTCACACACGGAATATCTTAGCTGAACCTAGATGCACCCTCGTTGTTCAGGTAAACATGCTTAACCTATAGAATCACCATTGTCTACTTTTGTCTTCAACTCTTTTCATTTAGGCTTCACGGCAAGCTTGCTCTCTAAGTTTTCTATAGTAATATTTAAACAGATTGGTAGGTAATCTTCCCTTTTGTAGATACCCGGAAGAAGTTGCTTATCCAATGCAAGAGCTACATTATTCGGCGATGTCTATCCATTGTCCGAAAATGAGCAAGTGAGTATCTCTGTTTAACTCCTCAGGCTGAGTAATACATACATGAAATGGTACTAGTTGTCTGTGTGTTGTGTCATAAAAGTTCTCGGTTTCCAGGAATGGGCTCATAAACAGTATATGGCTAAGCATCACCAAGGACCTTCCCAGCAATGGGGAAACTTTCACTATTTTAGAATGCAGAACATAAGGTTTCTGTCCATTTTATTCATATATGGCCAGACCATAGTGTAAACATGATAATAATCTTGAGTTTGTGTTCTCAGTGATATATATTTCATTGGAGGTTTTGGCACTGTTGCGTGGATTAATGTCAATGAGTACGAGGCACTTCAACCATATAAGATAGCTGTTGATGGAGGCGAGAAAAACCTTAGTGAGTTTAACTTAGTTTAATGATTGATCTTTACTTAATGACTCAAATTAGAGTTTGATTTATCTCTACATGGTGTTAGGTATAGGTTTTTGTAAACTGATGACTTTTATTAACATATGACATTCGTATATATACAGAGGTATTTGTGTAGATAAGCATAAACATATCTAGAGATAACTACACAAGTATTTAGGATAATGATTATCTAAGATAAGTCATTATCTATACCAATATGCCCCCTCAAGATGGACGTCGGCTACAGAGTCCAATCTTGGAAATGAGACTGAGGAAGCGACCCCGTGGTAGTGGCTTGGTTAATGCATCAGCAAGCTGATCTGCAGAGCAAACGTGAGACACTCGCAGTGCTTTACGTTGGACTTGCTCTCGAACAAAATGGTAATCCAAAGCCAAGTGCTTCATACGAGAGTGAAACACCGGATTCGCAGCGAGGTAAGTGGCACCGATGTTGTCACAATATATAGTCGGAGTGACAGATGATCGAAGGCCAAGCTCTGTCATAAGATTGATGATCCATTGTACCTCAGCTGCAGCATCAGAAACTGCGCGATATTCAGCTTCAGTGGATGAGCGTGAGACACTCCCTTGCTTGCGTGCAGACCACGAAATGGGTTGCTTACCTAAGTAGACAATGTAAGCTCCTGTAGAGACATAATCATCTTTGTCCCCGGCCCAATCTGCATCAGTAAAGGCATGGAGAGATGACGGCGAGGAAGCTGAGAAGAAAATTCCTTTGTCTGCTGTTCCTCCAAGATACCGAAGAATTCTTTTTGCGGCTTCCCAGTGTGCAGTAGTTGGTTGATGCATGTATTGAGACAGCCTGTTGACAGAGAAGGCGATGTCAGGTCTTGTGAGACCAAGATATTGCAGGCTCCCAACAATTGTTCTAAACTCGGATGGATCGGTAAGTGGGTCACCAGTCTTCAAGGTTAGAGGTTCTGTAGAAGACATTGGTGTTGTGACTGGTTTTGCATTAGCCATCTTTGCACGTTGAAGAAGATCCGTTATGTACTTTGTTTGAGTGAGATATAAGCCAGACGATGTTCTTGTTGCTTCCATTCCCAAGAAGTATGAGAGTTCGCCAAGGTCTTTGAGAGAGAACTTAGAGGCAAGAAGGTCTGTTGTGCGTCTGATTTCTGAGGCAGAGGAGCCGGTGATGATAATGTCATCGACGTAAATTAAAATGTAGATGACATGAGCCGGTGTGAGTTTGATAAACAGAGAAGTGTCAGCTAGCGAATTCTTGAACCCAAATTGAAGAAGACATTCTTTGAGTGCATTGTACCAGGCACGAGGTGCTTGTTTGAGGCCATAGACCGCCTTTTTGAGCTTGAGAACATGGTTAGGTTTGTCTTTGTCAATGAGTCCTGGTGGTTGCAGCATATAAACTTCCTCTTCAAGTGGTCCTTGTAGGAAGGCATTGTTGACATCTAGCTGCATCAACGGCCAGTTCCGAGAGACAGCAGTTCCAAGGACAACTCTGATGGTGACGTGCTTGATCACAGGGCTAAACGTTTCATGATAGTCGACTCCAGGACGTTGGTGATAGCCTTTAGCCACCAGCCGTGATTTGTGACATCGAGGAGTTCCATCTGGCCATCGTTTGATTCTGTAGACCCATTTAGATCCAACAATGTTAGTTGCCTCAGACCTGTCAACCAAATCAAACGAGTCATTACGAATAAAGGCATCATATTCATCACTCATCGAGCGACGCCACTTTTCATCCTGTAATGCTTGAACATGTGACTCAGGCTCCACTTCAGTGAGGACAGCAGTAAGACCATATCTAGGATTTGGTTTGTGAATGTTGTTCTTGCCACGGGTAACCATGGTGTGAACATTTGGTACCGGTTGTTGCTCAGGAGTCTCCGTGGGTGGAGGTGTAGGATCATCAGTGAGAGGCGGGGGAGACTGATGTTGAGTTGGTGTTGTAGCCAGTGGTGAGACAGTTGCAGGAGAAGGAGGTGTACACGGAGGTAACGCCTGTACTTGTGGCCGATTAAAAACAGGAACTAAAGAAGCAGTTGAAGTGTCAGAGGAGGAGGAAGATAAAGATGTTAAATCAAGAGGAGTGTTTGATGAGAGAGAGGAAAAAGGAAATACCAACTCATTAAACTCCACATGTCTCGAGACATAAACTCGAGAGTGAGCAACGTCAAGACACAAGAATGCACTCTGTGTAAGAGAGTAACCCAGGAACACACATGGCGCAGATTTGGGACTGAATTTGTTTTGACCGTATGGCTTGAGCCATGGATAGCAAAGGCAGCCGAAGGTTCTGAGCTTGAGATAGTTGGGCTCCATGTTGAATAGCTTGTTGTAGGGAGAGGTGTTGTCTAGCGTCGGTGTTGTGAGCCTGTTGATTAGATAAACAGCTGCTGAGAACGCGTAGGACCAATATGTGGCTGGAATCTTTGCGTGTGTGAGGAGAGCCAGACCGGTTTCCACGATGTGCCTGTTGCGTCGTTCTGCTAAGCCATTGTGTTCCGGGGTGTGTGGAGGAGTGGTTAGATGAGAGATGCCATGAGAAGAAAGAAAACTTTTTAAAGCAACATACTCGCCTCCATTATCCGAAAACAGAGTTGTAATTTTTGTTTTAAATCTGTTTTCGACTAATGCTTTGAAGAGAGGAAAAACAGTAGCAACTTGAGATTTTGTTTTTAAGGGATAAAACCAAATGTAACGGGTAAAGTGATCGACAAAGATAACAAAGTACTTGTACCCATCAATAGAGTGAACCGGTGAGGTCCATACATCAGAAAAACGAACTTCAAGTGGAGCTTTAGACGTAATAGAAGAAACAGAGAAAGGAATTTTATGACTCTTATTGATTAAACATGAATTGCATTTTAAAGAAGAAAAATCAGAAACAGATAACGGCAAAGAAAAACGGGAAATCATAATGCGTAAAGTTTGAATATTTGGATGGCCTAGACGTGCATGCCAATCCAAAACAGAGGACTTAGAACAAAGAAAAACAGAGGGGTTGTTTGGAGAAGAAGTCATCGGCCACTCGTACACACCGTCATTAGCTTTGCCGGTTAGTAACGTTGTCCCCGTGTACAGATCCTTCACCTGAAAGTCAAAAGGACACAGTTGCACCATAACATTGTTAGTCTTGCATAATTTATTAACCGAGATAAGCTTCTTTTTCATGTTTGGTACGCAAAGAACATTATTGAGCTTAAGAGGTCGAGTAATAGAGGGAAGGATTGTAGAACCCGTATGTGTTATAGGAAGATGTGTACCATTCCCAATCACCACACTTTCACCACCATTGTACGGTGAGTGTAGGGAGAGATTGCTGAGATCACTGGCGATGTGGTGAGAAGCACCACTGTCAAGAAGCCAAGGAGCATAGTACGGAGAGTTGGTGGTGACATGATGAGCTTGTTGCGGCCACTGCGGTGTTGGGAGAGGAAGATGTGGTGCAAGCCACGGTGATTGCCCTCGAAACGCTGGAGTAGTCTGCATACTAGGATGAGGCATCGGTTGTCCTTGTTGATATTGTTGTTGTGGTTGAAATTGAGGACATCGTCGAGCACCATGGCCTTGGACTCCACATATTTGGCACTTTCCAAGATAAGGACGTGGTGACCTAAAACCACCACGAGCTGAGAAGGAGCCACCTCGAGGATTCGACTGTTGTTGCTGAGGTCGAACCTGTGTTGCATTAGCCGTAACTGGAAGAGAAGGCTCGGTGTTGGTGATATTCAGTGTGTTTTCACGGTTGATTAGCTTCTCATGTAGCTCATCAGTTGTGATAGGCACATCACGTCCGTTTACCATGTCAACAATAGCACGGTAATCTTCACCAAGACCTTCAGTGATAGCATCAAGAAGATCTTCATGATCAAACGGAGCCCCAAGTAAGGCTAGTTTGTCGGCTTTATCAATGATAAGTCTCATGTATTCATTGATAGTTTTGGTGCCTTTGGTGATTTGTTTCAGTTGTTGTCGCAGTTGTTTGATGTGTGCTCTGGATGGTTTGCCGTACGTACGGTACAGGATATCCCAGACTTCACGTGAGGTAGTTGCTCGTGCAACAATTGGTTGGATAGCAAGCGTAAGAGACCCAATCAACGCGCTGTACAGCATCTTGTCTTGGCGAGTCCAAGCAGCAAAGGACGGATTTGGTTCAGAGACACCATCATCGTTGATAATAGTTTCAGGAGGAATTTGACTATCATCGGTGATAAAACAGTGTAACTCATGTGCTTCAAGAAGAGATTGAATTTGTAAACGCCAGGTGATGTAGTTTGTGGAGCTGAGTTTTGTAATGTTTGACATATTGAGGGAGATAAGAGTGCTTTTAGAGATGTTGAAAACAGGAGCCGATTCGGCTGGTTTAGAATTTTCTGTAGCCATTAGTAGACACGAGGGGGAAAAGGAGAAGAAGAGAAGAAGAGAAAAATTTTTAGGTTTAGATCAGAAGCTCTGATACCATATAGGTTTTTGTAAACTGATGACTTTTATTAACATATGACATTCGTATATATACAGAGGTATTTGTGTAGATAAGCATAAACATATCTAGAGATAACTACACAAGTATTTAGGATAATGATTATCTAAGATAAGTCATTATCTATACCAATATTAGGAACTTAATGCCATCTTCTCAAACCCACTTAGAGAGTTACTGTCTACTGAATCTGAGGTAGACGATGCTGCTATCATTTCTGTAGACAGCAAAGGGATCGATATAAGAGTTCGGCAAGGTGCTAAGGTAATCTCATTATATATAACCTTTCTATAGGGGTTCTCTCAGTTTCTGCTTGCGCGTATTCAATTTGTTACACTTGTGCAGTTTCACGTACAAAGGCTAGCCTTTGAGGAAAGTCTTGGAGTAGAGGCTTTAGAAGAAGCCAAATCTTCACTGTGGAAAGTGATAGAGAAGGGAAAGGTACACAATTTGTAGATATAACCTCAGATTTGATGATGTTGAATAGTTAAGGTGGACAAGTAAACATGAATTAATAATTTTCTGGATCGGTAGTTATCCAATATTGTAATATGACTTATTCTTTTAGTCCAGGATTGATGTAACATATTATCAAAATTTGTTAATATTAAGTAAAAAATACTTGCTAAAGAAAATTGATTCACTAGATTAGTACTCGCACTTTGTGTGGGATGAGATTGTATATATAATTTTTTGTGTGCAATTATTTATTTTCATTTTTACATATTATGGAATAATAAGATAATAATATAAAAAGAATAATTGAGAAATAAGTATTTACTATTTACAGATAAATTGGTGTGAGTACATAAATCAAAACAATAGTTCTTGTTTATTTACAATCATTTTATGATAAATAAATTCAAACAGTTATTTTTTTTATATTTTATATGGTATGTAATTAATTTTAAACGATATTAACATACATATAAAGGATATTTTTAGTAGAATTATTTATTAAATAAAACTTTCTACTTATATAGTTTGATGATCATTTGTATTTTTATAATATATTTTTTTAAATTACTCATAACAAACTTTTTATCTAGAAGACATAAAACTCATGAAAAGTAGTTTCATCAATTCAGACTTCATTCATATACCACAGATGCACAACTAAGGGAGGTCACAAATACAGTGCAAGAAAGCGACCGTCGTTTGTCGCTCATATGGATTCAGAGCTATCAGTTTAGTTCAAAGACTCTACATGACCTGTTTATATTGCTGACAAAAAAAACAAATTTTTTTATGTGACATTTAAGAGTCTTACTAATTTATGATCATTTTTTATACAAAAACAATGTAATATTCAAAATTAAAAATAGTATGTTCTCAATATTTTTTCAAAGAAAATTTTGAAATCATAATATTTATGTATTTTATATGGTATATATAAAATAATAGTAAAATAAATATATATACATATATATAGCTTAATCTTAATATTCATTAAATGAGACTTCTTATTCATATGTTTTTATAATCATTCGTATATAGCTATGGATGACAGAATGGGTCATGACCTATGGGTTAACCCAACCCACATTGACCCATTAACCTAAATGAACTGTATATTTTTGATCCAATGGGTTAATGGATTAACAGGTTAATAGGTTAACATGTTAATGGGTTAACTATTTAATGAGTCTATTGGGTTGGGTCAACCCTCACCCATTTAGTTTTTAATCAAAATCAAAAATTAAAATTAAACCCATTAACTGTCCAGTTGGACATAATGTTTTCCCGTCAAAACCACAAAACCACGTTTTCCCGCCAAAACCGCAAAACTACGTTTTCCGCCAAAACCGCAAAATCATGTTTTCACGCCAAAACTGCAAGATCACGTTTTCCCGCCAAAACCGCAAAATCACGTTTTGTCACCATTAACCCATTTTGGGTTTGGACAAATATGTTGGGTCGATGGGTGAACAATTAACCCATCTGACCCATATAATTTAATGGGTCATGGTCAACCCAACATATTTATTAAATGGTTTGGGTTGACCCAAAACCCATTGACAGTCAACCCATTTGGGTATGGGTTGGGTTGACCCATTTGACCCATTTTGACACCCCTAGCTATAATCCCTCTATATATTAAAAGCGAAGTACATTTGCCATGTGGCACTCACACAACCCTTCTCAGAAGAATTCTAGCGATTCTATTGGTTGATTTTTTTAGAATTTATTTTTTGATTTATTTTTACCATCGACACTACTAAAAAGGAAATCCATTTAAATACTTACTTTTTGTGTTTTCTCGATTCAAAGAACATCCTTTTGCGATCCTTTCTTTGTTTAATTCATTAAATACTCATTAAATATTTTAGATGTCAGAGAAACAAAATTAATTGACAAGATATTTTCACTCTTAAAATCATGCATTTAAAACAAAATTAATTGATAAGATATTTTCTCTCCTAAGATATTCCAAAAATAATATTACCTTAAAAATATAAGATTTATTGAGAATTTATTAGAGAATATGTTACTTCTTAGCTTATCATGCAAGCTAAATCATTGAGAAACTTCCATCAATTTACTATAAATAAGACATTCACAGTAGAAGAAATGAAATCATTGAACTTTGTAGTCTGAACTTTTTATGTTAATAATGTTCTAAACTTTTTTTTCTTCTTATTTTAGAACTTTAAGCTTTTATATTTCATAAGAGCTGATTTTTCTTTTGGTTTATATTCAGATATCCTATTATGACGATTTCTCCACTGAAGCTATATATGATTTGATTGTACATCTCTTTGATATATCATTTCGATAACATCTTTGTTCCTCAATCTGGTAAAAAAAAATTCTCTATTTGATAACATCTCTCAGCTATATCATTTCAATAGCATCTTTTTGTGTTGCCAATAATTTTTTTTTGATTAGTAGATTTATATTATTGTTTAGAATTATAAGCTTATACATACATATATATTTCTTTGGTTTGTTGATTGTGATTTTGTTTTCTGATCTTTTTAATTAAAATTGATATATTTTTTTTTGGTTTGCAATTATATGATCTTTTTAATTAAAATTAAATATATATAGTAATATTTATTAATCAAAAAGTTATATCAACTACTTTTTATATTTATTATTTCCTTATTATATATCATTTAATATTTAAATATCTATAGTTTAAATGTAATTTACCTTAATGTTTTTAGTTGATTAATGACCTACCTTATTTTGAACACATATTACTTGTGCAACTTCAAATTATATTTATTGCATTGTTTTAATTCAATTTACCTTAATGTTTCTAATATGTTAATCGTCTTTATAAACTTATTTTGAACACATATTACTTGTGCAACTTCAAATCATATTTATTACATTGTTTTAATGCAATTTACCTTAATGTTTCTAATTTGTTAATTCTTTTTAAAAAACTTACCTTATTTTGAATATGATTTAATTGCACAAGTTTATAACATATTAATTTTAAATCATTTAATGACAATATAACTTTAATATCTTTCTTTGAACTGTTTCATTATTTATTATGAAATTATATTCCTAAACATCATTTGTTATGAAAATATCTCCCTAATAACATAAGAAAAAAGGAAGGTAGAGTATATATAAAGGATACACTTAAGGGATGTCAATACTAACTTATTAGTCTATTTTTATTCGATAAAAAATTTAAATTTATAAATTCTTACATTTGTTTGTTTTTTCTATTAACAGATAAATAACACAGACGAAAGACTGGTTGTAGTTAACTATAAATCATTTATCAGTTTGTTTCAATAGTGATATGCAAATTTAATATTATTTTTGTCTCAATAAAATTTAGAAATCTATTAAATTATTTTATATTGTACAGTTGCTAACAAAATTTGATAATTTTTTGCAGGTTTCTATTGGATATTTTAAATTTATAACTGTTCTTCTTATTTTATATTACTTATTTAATTCACAAGATTGATTGGTAATAATTAAGAATGATTTATGTTAACGCATTAAATTCAGAACATCTATTTAGCAATAAAAAGAATGTAATAAATAATACGAATATATTATTTAATACTAACTTATCGTGCAACCATATCAACACTGTTATATATATCTTACATTTTCTTATGGTTTACATTTTAAGTTGCTTATTTTCTTCAAAGCTTAATCTAATGACTTTTTTTAGAAAAAAATAACTTTTGTGCCTGTGTACTTAAAAAAACTAACAAAAGATGAATGTCTATTTTGAGAATCTAAAACAGAGATATGGAAAAAAATAATTTCTTCTGTTATCTGCAAGGACTATGATGAATAAAATATTGAAGTTATTAAAGAAGCATGTTATTGGGCATCAGCAAAGGATCTACGCAAGCTGTTTTGTGTCCTATTACTAACACATAGTATCACAAATCCAGAAAACATTTGGAATGCTACTTGGAAAAAACTATCACAAGATATATTATGCAACCAAAGAAAAAATACGGATAAACCAAGTAAACTCATGTTTTTATCAAAAGAAAATGTCATTAGAAATTGGGTTTGGGTAAATATAATTTTTTACATGTTCTTTCAGACTTGGAGTAGATTGAATCAATCATGCTTTTGAACGGAAGCTCATTGACGTTGTTTAAGTTTAGAACGTGTTATCAATAGTATACTCTTCTATAAGTTAAGATGTGGTTTTGTTAGAATTTCTATTAATTGAATTTTTTGTTTCACTTTTGTGGAATTCGCGTTATTGTAATGTTATAAATTAATAATAAAAGCATTTTCTCATTATTGTCATAGAAGTTCTTCAGTTTTATTACATCTTCTTTTTCATAGTACTGTCTTTATTAGATCACTGAAACAAAAAGTGAATTGATGTATCAAATGTACTAATCTTTAATGACCTAATTAAATTCCATTGTCCCAAAATCAGAATAACGAGAGAGAGAGAGAGAGAGAGAGAGAGAGAGAGAGAGAGAGAGAGAGAGAGAGAGAGAGAGAGAGAGAGAGAGAGAGAGAGAGAGAGAGAGAGAGAGAGAGAG